ATATATTAATTTTCTTTTCTTATGATCGTAAAACATTGAAGAAAACATATTATCAGAGCTATATATAGCCGAACAAAACCCGTAATATTAATATGTAGTGCAACAGTCGACACGTCCAATGGACTCGCCGACGGCTGTCCTATCAGGGTTGTTATCTGTCAATTTTAAAGTAATTTAATTCGTTAAAGGGACTGTCTTGAATATCTACATTTTTACTCAAATAAATGAATACATTGTCTATACATCGTGGAATATAAAAATGTAAAATGTCTTCCTTTTCATTGAAATGTCCTTTTTTTATTTTTATTTTTTTTTTTTGAAGTAAAATGTTCTGGATTGGGAAAAAATTGGTAACCCTGATCCTATTTAATAAAAAGAATGACCGTGACTCATCTCTTCCAGAGACGCAACTCACCCACAAAATCGTCCACAAAGGAATGAGAATAAACCAAGAAGCCGCCAACTACTGCATTATCTTGATACAAAATATTGAGAAAGCCTTCCAATGTTTCAAGTTTGAATTTGCCCCGTTTTCTTAACATCTCGTTGAAGGGAAGAAGCGGTCACTGATGTTCCACACCTGACCTTTACTTCCGCTGGAAACAGATGTCCCGAATGACGTCACAAAGTTTGGCGGGAAAACGAGTTATAAGCGCGTAAGCGTTTTCTAGACTTCGTAAGTTCTTGACTATATTAAGCGGTTGGCAAGGTTTGTGTTTCTGGTCAAGTTTATTATTTACAATTATATTTGTTTCCTTCCGGTTTGTTTAGGTTCTAGCTGCGCATCTCTTCCATAAAGTTGATTTAAAGAAGCATTATTCTATCAGACAGTCAATACATTTTAATTTCGAAAATGGTTCGAAGTAATTATTTTTATGACCTTAGCGATGGTGCTGAGATGCTACTTTATTTTAAAAAATGAAATCTATGAAAGATTTGGACCCACCTTTCATCTCTCTGCTACATTGTTGTGACCGGTTTGCGCTCATTTTTATTTTATTTGATGCGTCTAAATTGACGCAACGCGTCTCCAACCCCCTTGAGAGGCGTTGAGCGCTTTGCGCTTGGGAGTAATCCTCCGTTAACTCGTGCGCTTTAGGAGTAATTTTCCATTAATAGCATCTGTCATTATATGTCACGTCTCGTCGCTGTCACGTGTCAGGAGGACCGCCAGGTACCATCTCTGCGAGTGCACCTACTACGCACTCCTGCGTCACTACCCAGCGGCCAGAATTGGGAAGGACTTAGGATAGGAGTAGGGTTTAGGATACTTCACAGTGGCTGGACTAGCCCTTGTGTAGTAGAATCGTTTTGTTGGAACAAATTTCACACGAGATTCTCCGTGAATCGATGCCGGACCTCCTTGGTAAAAGGCGAGCGATTTCACTCTTGAGCCGCGAGATGACTCATCTTCATATGTATCTGGAACATTAACATTATCTGCTCATTAAATTTAACTTCGTTTTACATGATAGTTAAAAATTCCGCTGTGTTCCGAGTTGTTTGTAATCCGGAAGCGTCGAGGATGATAAATCTAAAGGTTAATGTAGTAAAAACTAAGTTCATTAGTGGCAAAGAAGATCGAAAATAATGGATGCCAACCACTTATGAGTAACTAGATTGTTTGAATAATTTGAAAAGTTACACATCTTGGAACAAAAATAAATACTTAAATAATATCAATGAGAAAATACAATATTGGTGATATATATTTTTCTTAAGTAAATCTGATCTAAAAAATTATTTTAAAAAAATCATATACAATTAAAAACACCAGTTGTCGAGTAATATTCTGCTAGAAGTTAGGGCAATTTATATTTCTTTTTTCAAAAACGGCTCCAATTGTTCTTGAATAAGTTCCTCTTCCAGGGGTTTCCCCTGGGGTTAGAGCAAAGAACGCTTGAAAATTGTGTGGGTCTCATTTTCGTTGAACACCGAGTGTTGCTTTAACGCAACATATACTTAATTTTTAAACTACTGAAAATTATTAATTTAATTTTTATTTTATTATTTTTATTTTTATATTATTATATTTATATTTAATTATTATTTTATTATTTGTGAATTATTGTTTTATTCAGTTCTGAAAGAGCGTATGAGGAGTAGATTTAGCTTGCTTTTTATAGGCGAGACATTGAATAAATGGAAGTGTACTCATGATTTTTGTATACTGATATTTTCATTATTACTGTTATTAATTTTATTATAGATTTGTTTCCAAATTTTCATTTCTACTTTCTCGCCTTACGAAGGATCTTATGTAATCGTACGCCAGAGAACAGCGGAGTTTTTACTATTATTTTAATTCTACATACATTCATTTATCAGTTACTAGTATATTATAATAAACAATAATTTTATATGGGAAAAGTATGCATGAATGTCTTTAAGCACGTGGGAAAAAGCTGGAATTTAATTTTTTCGCCTTCACATATGTATTTCATGCGTTTACATTTTGCAGTTCTATCATTAATTTAAACGAGTGAAACGCAGTGTCAAGAATGCTGCTGTCAAAACAACACAATATTAGTTGTTTTTTAAGTAGCGTGTTCACTACTTAAGAACAAATAAAGTACACTATACTCATTTTCACGTCGTGAAGGCACAATGGGCTCTTATTGATAATGATATTCTTGTAGAGGAGTCCCATGCACTGTTGCCAAATCGATTGTTGCAAAAGTAAGTAGAAAAAATATTGTCCTGTTCAGGAAATGTCGAGGATCACTATGGTAATCATGAAAAAGTGTCATTAATGTTTTTAAATAAAATAGTGAAAACGCTTGATTTCTGCGTAACCTTTTAATCACCTTTTTCAAACCGTTAAAACATTTTCAAAAATTCGTGGACTTGTTTTGGAAAAAGTCGATACAATATTTCAGTTATTTAAGCTGAGGGAAGTGCTTTCATTCTATCAATAGGTCAAAACGTACCCCTAAAAACAACGAATTGGCAACAATTGTCCGAACATTTGCGAATTTTTAATTTGTGCATTAGAATATAGCGTCGCTGGGATATTTTCATTCTGGAAGTCTAATTAAAAACTTTCAACGACAATGTTTTGAAGGGAATTAAATTACTTTCTATCATCGCCCGAAGGTCTTCGAATTCATTACTTCTGAGTAATTGATGTTTATTTTGAAGTCCAACCGCACGCGATGTGAGACGACGACGTGAGGCTCGTCGAAGAGACTCGATGAAAAGACACGGCACAGATGCAGGATGTACAACCCGTAGGGCTAAAAGTGTTTTTGTTCTTATGAGATTATCAGCGGTAGAGACTGTCCAAACCATTCCTCGAATTATCACAAATCGTGAATTTTATGGGTGTTCTGGTCAGTCGATTTTTGCTAGTGGATGTGAGTGAAAGCAGGTAAATAATTGCGGCTCAGGGCGAATTCGCCTGCCTTTCAGCACTGAGGTCCCGGGTTCGGTTCCCGTAGAACCTCATGTGAAATTTGTTACGAAAAAACGAGTTTGCCTGTTTCACAGGGGCTAGTTCAACTTGGGTGAAGTGTCCTAACCCTTACCTCTAGATTTACTCCTTCCCAATTCTGGCCG